AGAAATGTGTATTCATCTCAAATGCCCATTTTTGGATTGGGTCCTTGAATTTTGGGGCCTGATTTTTAAAAATTTTTTATATGTTCTAGGCAGAAGTTCTTTTTCTGAGGGACAGGTCACTGTTTTCCCAATTCTTGGGATTTCTTTGCACTCTGTTGAAGATTTTTGACATGCAAAACTTTTTAATAAGACAAGATCCCAGTTGTTGATTCTGGGAAATATTCCTTGTACAGTTTGATTTTTGTTTATGAACAATCTCTCTACTTTTATGTTGTCAAGATTTCTACCTACTTTGTCTTCCAGCAGTTTTAGTGTTTCTGTTTTAGTATTAGATCTTTGATCCATTTTGACTTTAGTTTAGTGCATGGTGATAGGCATGGATCCAGTTTTCAGATTTTGGCATATGGAATGTCAGTTTTTCCAACACCACTTATTAAGGAGGCTATCTTTCTTCCAGTGAACATGTTTGATCACTTTGACTAAGATGAGATGGCTAAGTATGTTTGCAGTTGTGGCTGTATCTTCTAATCTGTTCTGTTGATCTTCAGGTCTGTTTTTATTTTAGTATCATGCTAATTTTATCACAGTAGCTTTGTAATATAATTTCAAGTCAGGGATTGTGATGTCTCTTGCCTTATCTTTGTTGCCTAGAATTCTTTACTGTTCTAGGTCTCTTCTGACTCCAGATGAATTTTAGGGATGATTTTTCTAGATCTGTGAGATATGCAAAACATATTTATTTGGATTTGCATTAAATCTGCATAGCAATTTTGGGAGAATGGCCATATTCACAATGTTTGTTCTTCCTCTCCATGAACAGGAAATGTTTTTCCATTTTCTGAAATCCTCTTCCTTTTCCTTTTTCAGAGAAATGTAATTTTCACTGTATACATATTTTACTTCGTTATATTGATTCTTAATTATTTCATTTTTTTGGATGCTATAGTGAAGAGTGTGGCTTCCTTAAATTTTCTCTCAGGTGATTTTTCTGTTTGTGTACCGGAATGCTTTTGATTTTTGAGTGCTGACCTTGTATCCAACTACATTACTGAATTTGGTTACTACATCTAGAAGTCTTTCAATGGAATTTCAGGAGTCTTCTATGTAGAGTATCATATCATCACAAATAATGATAATTTAACTTCTTCCTTCCTTATCCTTATTCTTTTTATTTCTCTGTCTTGTCTAATTGCTCTGGGTAATATTTCCAGAACTATATCGAATAGGACTGATGAAACTGGATAGCCTTATCTTTTTTCTGATTTTAGGCTGAAAGTTTTCAGTTTTTGTCCATTTAGTATGATGTTGGCAGTTGGTTTATAGTATATGGCTTTTGTCAGATTGAAGTAAAGACCATCTATTCTGATTTTCTGCAGGACTTTATATCATGACTGAGTGCTGGATTTTGTGGAAAGTTTTTTTTTTTTGCATGTTATTGAGATGATCATGTGGTTCTTGTTCTTAGCTCTGTTAATATGTGTATTACATTTATTGATTTGCATATGTTGAACCACCCCTATTTTCCCAGATGAAATCTATTTAATTGTGGTATATAATCTTCTTAATGACTTGCCAGGATTTTATTGAGGATTTTTGCATTTATGTTCATTAGTAAGATTGACCTGTAGCTTTCTTTTTTGGTTGAGTGTTTCTCTGGTTTTGATATTAGAGTAAAGCATGCTTCCAGGAATGAGTTAGGGAAACTTTCTTCCCTTTCTATTTCATTAAAGAGTTTGAGGAGTATTGTCATTAAGTTTTCCTTGAACTTTTTGTAGAATTCAGCTGTGAATCCAAAAGAGTCTGGGCTTTTTTTCATCAGTAAGGTTTTAGTTACATTTTTAATTTCATTAATTGAAATTGGGCTAATTCAGAAGTCTTACATGTTCTTTATTCAGCTTTGGTCATTCATATATTTCTAGGAATCTGTCCATTTCTTCTGTTTTTTCAAACCTATGAGAGTAAAGGTTTTCAAAGTAAGTATTGATAATCTGTATTTCCACAGGGCCTGTATTGATTTTATCCTTTTCATTTCTTATTGTGTGGATTTGAGTTTTTCTTTCTCCTTTTTTGATAAAGTTAGCTAGTGGTTTATAAATTTTGTTTATTCTTTCAAAGAACGAATTTTTCAATTTGTTAACACTTTGAATTGTTTTCTTAGTTTCAATTGCATTAATTTCTGCCCTAATATTTATAGTTTTTCCCTTTTTTGGGCTTGATTGTCCTCCTTTTTCCAGGAATTTGAAGTGCATCATTTGGTTGTTTGTGTCTATTTCATTTTCCTGATACGGGAGTTTAGTGCTATAAATTTCACTCTGAGGACTTCTGACTTTGTTTCCCACAGGTTCGAGTACATTGTATTTGCATTTTCATTCAATTTTAGATATTGTTTAATTTCTTCTTTAATTTCTTCTGTGACCCATATTGTTTAGGAGAGTGTTTTTTAATTTTCATGTGTTTATGGAGTTCTTGTGGGGGGTTTATTTTTAAATTTCCAATTTGATTGCACTATGGCCAGATAGTATACATGGAATTATTTCAGTCCCTTTGCATTTGTTTAAGCGTGTTCTGTGGGCTAGTATATGATCTATTATAGAGAATGACCCATGCACAGCTGAGAAGAATGTGTATTCTGATGTTGTTGGGTGGAATGCTCAGTATACATCTGCTAGGTCCATTTGTTCACAAATTTGATTCAGTGCTATTATTTACTCACTTATTTTTTATTTGATTATTGTCTCTGTGACAATGCTGTGTTAAGGTCCCCATTATAACTGTACTATTTATTTGATTTTGTATGTCTATTAAGATTTGTCTTACATAGTTGAGTCCTCCCATATTAGGTGCATGTATATTTATGATTTTAATATCTTCCTCTTCAAGTTTTCCCCTAACAAATATGTAGTACTCTTCTTTACCCATTTTGGTCATTCTTGGTTTGAGGCTCACATTTCTGCAAACAGAATCACTACCCCTGCTTTTATCTGTGTTCCTGTTGCATGGGTTATTGTTTTCCATCCTTTGACTTTTAGTCTGTGGATTTCCTTTTGAGTTAAATGTGTTTCTTATACACAGAATTTTTTGGATTTTGCTTCCTAATCCACTCTGTCAGTCGGTTTCTTTTTATTGGTGAGTTAAGACCACTTATATTGATGGATATAACTGATATATACTGACCTGTCACTGTCATGTTATTTTTCTGTTGTTGGTTTTCTACTTTTTCTGTTTAATTTTTTGCCCTGCTTAGTGGTCTCCTGCTCTTGTTTTTGGGATTATAGTTATCTTTGTCTCTTTCTAGAGTGTCTTTCAGTACTCTTTGTAGTGTTATTTTGGTGGTCATGAATTTCATCAGTTGTGCTTTGTTATGGAAGTATCCTATTTCTCCATTTCAAAGATAGTTTTTCAGGGTGCATCAGTCTGGTTTGTAAGTTGTTTTCTTTTAGCACCTGAAATATTTTGTGTGTTGAGAAGTCTGCCAAGATTCTGATACGGTTTCCTTCATAGATGATCTGTTTCTTGTCTCTGACAGCTTTTCATACTCTGTTCTTGTGCTACATTTCTGATATCTGGATGAAGATTTATTTTGGTTACGGTTAACTGGGGTTCTGTGTAGCTCACTTACCTGTATATCAGATTCTTTTCCAATGTTTGAAAAATCTTCTGCTATTATTTCTGTAAATAGTCTTCTTATGTCATTTGTGTTGACCTCTACTTTTTCATTGACCCCTATCAGTAATATATTTTTCCTCTTGGCAATATCTTGCAGCTGTTCAATTGTTGTTTCATGGTTGTTACTTTTAAAAGATTTTACTTCCATCCCATCTTCAAAATCTAAGTCTACCTTTAGCTTCATTCAAGTGGTTTTTCCAGCTTTCAATGGAACTTTTAATTTCCTGAATATCCCTATAAATCTGTTTCATGCATTTTAATTGTCTTACATTGTTCATTCAAGGTTTCCATCATTTTCTTGTGTTCCTATTTTTATCTAGATCTTCTTTAGATACACACAGCATTTCTTTTATGTTTGTCATTTCTTTTTTTTTAACTTGAGAGACTACTTCTGATTTGATTTCCTTTGTAGTTTCATGGAGTTGCTTCTTTACTTCAGTTGCTATCTTTTCAGAAAGTTCAGCTGTGTAATTTCCAGTATCTTCCATTTCAGGATCTTTTGGATTTGCTCTAGTGGGCTGAAGAACTGAAACTGATTTTTGCTCTTTCATTTTGTCACTTTAATCAGGACTCATGTGGTTGGCCAGGCACTCTCCTGATGGGTTGCATTAGAATGCTGTGCTGAGCATAGCTTCAATCTTCCAGTATCACCATGGCTAACCAGAGTGCACTCCAAAACTATGGTACTGGAGACTTGTGCTCTGTGGCCTGTGAGGCTGGCTGGTTGTTCCCCTATTGTACTACACTGTGTCACACTGGGACTCTGGGCTGTGCAGAGCTCCATGCAGCTAGCTGTGGTGCACCCCTGAAGTGTGTTGCCAGGATTTACAAAATGGCTGAGTAGAATTAAGGACCTCTGTGACCCACACTGCTAACAAGGATGCACCGCAGAGTGTGGTGTTGGGTCCTGAAGCCTGGCTGGGTAGAGTTCAGAACCTCAGAGACTCACGAGGCTAGGCAGAGTATGACCCCAGAATGTAGTGACACTGGGGCCTTGCTCCTGGCTGGGTAGTATTCAGAACCTCTGGGACTCACAGTATGGCTAGCTGGGCTGATCCCCTGTATGGAGCTTGGGCCTTGTGCTTTGATGGGAAGAGCTCAAATTCCCCAAGACCCAAATGCTAGGCTGGTCACTCCCTGATGGGCAGCTGTGGGACTCTGAGCTGGACTGAGGTCAGTACCTCTGTGACCTGTGAGGCTGGCTAGATTTCCCCTGATGGATTGCACTGGGATGACTGGCTGGGCAGAGCTAGGATCCTCAGTGCAGCTAGTGCAGATGCAGCCCCAGAGTGTGGTGTTGGGCCTTAAGACTGGCTGGGTGGAATTCAGAACCTAAAAATATGGAATGCTTCACAAATTTGCATGTCAGCCTTGTGCCAGAGCCATGTTAATATTCTCTGTATCACTCCAGTTTTAGTATATGTGCTGCTGAAGAAGGCACCCAAATATAACTTTTATAAAGATTTCATCAAATCTTTCCTGTACTTCTAAGAAAATCTCGTTAAACTTCTTCAGGTTTTGTAGAAGAAACATCAAGGCACTTAAAAATTTTTACTTCACAGTATGTTTTCATAGTTTTATGAAAATGCATCAGTAAAATGAAAGGAAACAACTCAGAAAGTGTGATTGCTTATGTATGGGCTGCATGGCAATAGAAAAAGACCTAGGTCAACACAGTTCCATGAATTGATTCCTAGAGAGTAGAATAATAGTTGCTTGAAGTATGGGAAGGTTCAATTCAAATATTGAAACAATCAGAAAATCAAGTAAACTATAAAATCACACAGGAATAATAATTTCATCTGTGAATATGTTTAACAGAATGATACATTTGCAAAGATACCCAACTTTCCTCCTCCACATAGGCTGATCTATCATTCTGTTATTGTAATGATATCATGGATCTCAGCTGCTGAGCATATTGTAATGTTGGCTAAAGTAACCTCACCATGTAAATACAAATGAATTACTGTCACTAAAACACTAGTGGCATGATTTGTCAGGAACATTCAGCTGGTATTTATTATAGATAATACAGTACATTACTTAACATGTGTTGGCTTTTGCAAAGGTGGATTTCAGATTCCTTTGTCCATTATGAGAATATTATTCAAGGTGTTATGATCATAAATATTATATTCCTATCTACTCAGATATCTCTCTTTAATCATTAATCTTTGGGAGGAGGCTGTAACTTTAGACTTTCTGGCTTTTCTTCTGTTCCTTTTCTTTGTATTTCTTCCCCTTATTTCCATCTGATAAAAACATTTACTTATCTAATGATTCTTTTATCATTATAGATATTTCTGTAATAGCAAACATTCTATAAGTAGAGCCTCAACTTTTGTGATATTTGCACTACTGCTCTAAAAATGAACAGGAAACCAAATAGTTAATATTTAAACAAACATACATAAATATCAATTAAAGCCAAATAAAGGAAATTCATAAATTTTATATTTACACTAAAATTTAATATTTTTTGAAAATGATGTAAGCATTGTTTTGTAACCAGACATTATGTTTTCTTTTTTTTTGTTCCTGAACCAGATTTTCAATAATATTATGTTTATCTAAACATATGTCTTGTTAGTCTATGAATTATCATGATGCTTTTAAATGATTTTGGTGAGCACATTTGCATGCAACACTTCAAGTAGTGAACATTTTTCTTTCAAGGTGATGTAACAAAAAATAGATAAAAATGAGACTTTATTTAGAATTTAAAACCTCCTTATTATATATAATTATTGTCTCTAATCAATAGCACAATATTGTGCTTCATAGACCACAGGATGGGTTTTATCCCTGGAACTACGCAACACACATCCTGTGTCTCTCTGCACAGAGTAGCTCCAACTAACAGATACATGGGAGGTTGGCTCCCACAGAGACTTAAAGTCCCTAAGTATTAAACAATACATGTTTTAAAGCATCAAAGGAATAAAACCCCATTCATATTGTAGTCATTATTCTGACACAGAAAAACAAATCTGACACATGTCTTCTATGTAAGCCTTATTTGGAAACAGTTTCTGTTAACATGCCATGGCCTAGATTTATTATGAATGGCATGGTATAATTCTGACATGCAAAATTATATGGGCACAATTAACAAGTACTAGTTCCTGATGATTCAAAGGTTTCTTGTTCTTTCTTTCACAAAATAATAATTTAGGACTCTTGAGAAATGAAGGACTATGTTTTAAAACAGTTAACAGGAACAGAAAATTATTAGATGCTAGAATACTACACTTTGATAAATAGCACAAGTGTTGAATATTTGGAAGACTATTGTGTAGCATTTTAAAGTATCCCTATATTAAAATACAAACATATACCATGGGTTAATAACTGTCTAAATTTATTGTATGTACCTCGCTTGTCTCAAATGCACTATCTGAGCCCTATTTCCAGATTCTGATTTAAAAGGGTGGGAATGGGCTTGAAATTTGCATTTTAATAAGCAGTCTTGGATGCTTAATACCTGCAATCCTCCCTCATATAATGAGAAAAAAAGTCATATATCATATAGCAGCTTAAGATACTGGTTTTTCTGAGTAGTTTAGGAAGAATGCAGACTCCTTTCCATATATCTGCTACATGAGGTAAAGTCCAGACATGGACAGATTTTAAAAATTCTGTTGATAATGCTAATGCTTCCAAACACTAATAAACAGAATTAACTTCTTTATAAATCAGCTTTCTTTTTCCTGATGCATTACTCAACACACAGTGAGTATTCAACACACAGTGAAAAGCAGTGAAGGTTTAACTTAGCTCTTGCTTTCATCTTTGCTTGCCTCCAAGGAAGAAATATCATGGAAAGAGGTTGCAGTGAATCAGAGATACTTAGTTCATGGTGACTATGAATCACATTGGAGGAACAGTACCAGAAAAGAAAAAATGGAGCACAGGGCGAGACAGACCACAAAGTCACACCATTTCCACGATCTACCAAGACACATTTTGAAGTGAGCTTTTATCTCCAGAGTGGCTCCCATGCTAAGCAAGTTGACACAGTTAAGCATAACTGCCAGCAACTTCATTTTGTTGCTTATCACTAAAAGCTGTTTCTAAAACGTGTTTTGAGAAACTATCACGTTGTTTCCCTCTGCAGCCAAAGAAGTTTATAATCCTACAAACATGTGCACAACAACTTGAAATTTTTCCGCATCCTCACCAACACTTATTTTTCCGTCTTGGATCAGAGTTGGGGTTTGAATAACAGTTCCTAAATAATTAGTGCCATTGAGCATCTTTTCATGTATTTGTCTGCTAATAAGTCTTTGAAGAAATGTTTTATTAATTCTTTGATCCATTGTTGTTTTGTTGAGTTTTACAAACTCATTAGATATTCTGAATATTGTTATTAGACACATGAATTGCAAATATTTTTGCCTATTTTATAAGTTGCTAGTTTTCACACTTTCTAGTGTTTTTAATACAAAAATTTGTTTTCAAGAAGTCTATTTTTTAATTTTTTTCTTTCTTACCTGTTTCTTATCATATTTTTCCATAGCTAAATTTAATTTCACAAAAATTTTGCTATATATTTTTATGAATTTTGTAATTTAAGCTTTTATATTTAGACCTTTTACCTATTTTGAGATAATGCCACTTCTTTCTTTCCTACTTGGATATTTTTTATTACTTTATTTTGCCTAATTGCTTTGGCCAGGACTTCAAGTACTATGTTAAATAGAACTGAAGAGTGTGAACATGTATGCCTTCTTCTTGATCTTAGAAAAAAAAGTTCAATTTTTCTTCAGTAGGTATTATGTTCATTGTGGATTATTCATCTTTATCTCTTAATATGTTGGACATACTTTCCTTCTATTCTTTTCTGAATTTTTTATCATGAAAGAAGGTTATTTTGTCAATTTTTTTCTACATGAATTGGGGTAATCTCATAATTTGTTCTGTTAATATGATGTATTATAATGATTAACTTTTGTGTGTTGAATTGTTTCTATTCCAGAAATAAAGCACATTTCATCATGATGTATAATGGTTTAATGTGCTATTGAAATCATCTCATTAGTATTTGTAGAGAATATCTCTAAAAACATTCACAAGGAATGTTGCTTGGCAAGTTTTTTTCTTTATTACTCTTGTACTTTTTTACCCTGGTTTTTGTTTTAGAGTAATGTTTTTCTAATAAAACAAGTTTTGAAGTAAGCCTTCCTCTTAAAAGTTCTTTTGGAAAATTTTAAGTGGATTGATATTAGCACTTCTTTACATATTTTGTAGAATTCTCCTAAGAATTAATAAGATACAGGGAATTGCTTTATTGTGAGATTTTGAATTATGCATTCAATTATTTATGGTTATAGGTCTATTCAGATTTTCTTTATTTTCTTGATTCAATAGTTGTACTTCTAGGAATTAGTTCAGTTTCTTTGAGTTATGCAAAGCTATTGGCACGTGATTATTCACTGTACACTTCTACAATTTTTTTTGTATTCCCAATCTCGATTTTCCCTTTTTTTCTTAGTCAATCTAGCTGAAAGGCTGTCGATTTTGTAGATGTTTTAAAAAGATAGATTTTTGGTTTCACTGATTTTCTCTACGTGCTGCTCTTCCCCATTTCATTTATCTCTGATCATACACATAAGTTTCTTCCTGTCTTCCTTCAATTTAGTTTTTGTTTTCTTTTACTAGTTTTTAAATTATAACATTAGGTGGTGGATTTGACATCTTTCTTTTTAATTTAAGCAATCATGGCTTTAAATTTCCTTCTTGATTTCTCAAAAAAAAAATAACATCAGAGATTTCGTTTTACCTTTCTATTCCTCTTCTAGATATCATCCTAAAAGAGTTAGAAGCATCACACTTCAATGATCTATGCCCCCCACACTAAATCTTGGAAACAACCCTATTCTCAACAGATAAGCAGATTAAAAATGTGATATTTATATGCAATATAGTACTGTTCTGCCATTAAGAATGATAATCTTAAGACCTTTGTGGGTTAATGTATGCATCTCAAAACCATAGTTTTAAGTGAAATAAATCAGACGCATGAGTTTGCATGTAGCATTGTTTCTCTTGTGTGAGAAACCTGAAGTGTAAATAAGGGGAAAAACAAAGGACAGAAATTGCAAAGTAGTCAGAACTTGTTCAAATGGGAAGGGAAACAAGGGAGGGGAAAGGGAATAAAGGGATTAAACAAAAGAGAATGAAAAGAAAAATAGAAGCAGCACTTTTGGAACTGGAGAGGGGAAAAGACATTAAAGGGAAGAGAGGTGAAGGAAACAAAAATAAGAATATGTACAAGTACAAATTTTCTATGACCAATATGATCATTATGTATGGCAACCAAGGACTGATAAAAACATTTTTTTTAAAAAAAGAAATATACTACACTCTTCTCTCCTCACTACTTTTGATATTGGTTCCTCAAAAACGTCTTTTACCTGTTCCTGAATAACATACTAC